TAAACAAAGACTACATGATTAATCTTATATCACCCTGAACCAAACGCAACACATGTTATTAGATATGTATTCTCGAATCCCAGATACATATCAAATTTTTTTTTTTTCTCAAAAACACTTTAGAAAAACAAAATCAGACACAACACAAGTTTGTTCTTGGATTTGTAAAATGTTGGTTGTGTCTTTTGAAGGTTGTGCAAGATGTTTCCTTGGACATTTTCTGGGTTTCATCTGAAAACAAATCTTTAATTTGTTGACAAAAAATAAAAATGTGAAATCAATGAAGTTTTGGCATTAAAGCCTACAATTTTAGGTTGAAGAATCCATTTTTGTATTCAAATAAGTCAATGTATGGATCTGAAATATCACAGAAATCTTATGCAACCCTTTTTTATGTTTAAGGGGAGATGTATCAAGACTTTGAGATATAATTTAATGTGATTATTTTTTTTTTCTTTATTATTTAAAGATGAGCTTTAGTATCTAATCTGGATTTTGTTCATTATTTTTTGAAACACCCAATACAAAACATTTGAGAACAAAAAAACGGAAACATATTCATTGTTTTCATGAGATCATAAACCCTAGACCAGACAACAAAAAATATTTTTCTAGATGAATAAAAATAGGGAAACATAATCCACATTTTAGATTATATTTTAATTTTTTATTAAAATATAAACCAATAACGGAGATTTAGTTCAAGGAAAGGTTGTTTGTATCTACCAAATAAAGTGCTTTTCACACCTGTTTTTTAAACTTAAAATTTCACTTCACATATGCTCATAATTCCACTAATCAATATAGAATAATTAGCAAATTAATTAATTTAATATCACTAAAAATTAATAATAAATGGAGTGTAGAAAAAATTGTTTCAACTTTCAACTTTCAACAAGCATAATGACGGTAATTTATTGAATCCATTTAACAAAAGTAAACTTTCTTCTCTTTTTGTGTGCTTATTGATCTACATTTTATTACTTTAAAATTGTTCATTCCAGTAGAAATTAAACTTTTGATGTGCATGCATTAAACATGTTTGATTTCTTATTCAATTACAAGGTTGAAGAAGATGGTTTTTTCTAGAATAAGAATTATAATGATCACTATTTTAATAAGTGATATACGAAAAGAGTCGTGATATATTATAAATCTGGTTGAATCTCGAAAATTCTACGTTGAATGATTAAAGAGAGTTTGAAGGTTTTATAATTAGGAAGATTATTCCACCTAATAAGGCTAATTTCTAAGGTTGGAAATTTGGATATGTGGACTTTCGAAAAGTCGAAAATTTTGTTCTAGAGTGAGATTATTGAGTGTCCATTTGGAGTTCCACAAAGGAAGATGATCACTTAATAAGACTAAACATTCATACAATCATAATAAAGTTTCAAAAAAAAAAAAAAATCATTTTATAAATATAGGATAAAAACTCTTTACAAGTTATTTTCTTAAATGCTTTTTTTTTTTCTTTTAATTGTAAAACAGCCCATGAAATGAAACCCTCTCCATGCTTGAATTTATATATTGTTTATGAGATAATTAAGGTCAATTATCTACATTTTTTTTTCTTTCTTTCAAGAATATCATATAGCAAGTAGAATTAAAATTATAAAAAAAAAAAAAATTCAACAAAATTATAATCATCAAGGGATCAAATCACTTTCCTATCTAACCAATTTGAATGGTTCTTGCTTTAAATTCCACTTAACCAAATTCGTGAAATCTGTGTCCTTTCTACTTTTTTATTGTCTGTAAATATTTAGTAAGGTCTTCAATGGAAGAGGCTTTTCAAAAAATTTGGTCCATAGAAATAAAAATAGCGGGGGGCCTAGCTCCTAAGTAGACAAGACCCAAATAATTATTACTTTGGTTGGGAATTGGGTTTTAATCATTAATAAATTCACTCCTAGCTTAGCTTAGCTTAGCAAGAATCTATTTTTATAGCAATCAATAGAGATGAATATCAGCAAGGATCATGCACCTCATCTATCACCATCATATGACCCTTTTGAAAATTTTAAAGCAAATTCATTCAATTTGCTTATTATATTCATTGAAATCATCAAGAATGGTGATATGAAATTCAAAAAAAAAATATAAGGTTTATAAAAGAGAATGTGTAGTAATTCTCTGGTGTGGATGTCTGTAAGTTTTTAATGTGCAAACCAAAATGTAAAAACTAAACTAAAACTGGTTCCTTCTCTTGATCTATAACTTAAATTTTGAGAACGTTTGCTATTGAATTATAATTTCTCTTACATCATTTGATTTTGAACGTGAAAAGAATTTGGATTCTAAACACATCTTATTTTTCTCTAAAAATCGTTTATTACAAATCTTATTAGATTATGAGCGAATCTTATTCAACATCGCTGACAATAAAATGAATATAAATTATTTCAAATCTCATATAGATGTTAAAAGGATTGCTCCAACAGGGAGATGAACATGTGCAAGAACTTGGAAATGTGTTGATTACTTTACCCTTTATAAGGTGGATTCAAAAAAAGATCAAATCACTTAACCCTAAAAAACCAATCTTACTATTTCTTGTTAAAATTCTACCTAGCCAAATTAGGGAATTCTCTACCCTTTCTTTTTCTTTTATTTATAAATGGGTATGCAAGTCTTTTAACCTTTAAGCAAAGTAAATGACTCCAATGGAAATAAATAAGCATCAAAGATATTGGGAATCTAATAAGTAGTGAAGGAACCAAATAATTCCCAATTAGCTTAGCTTACCCTACCCTCTTTGTAACTTAGTGAGTCTTTGAATTTTGCTTGACTTTCTTGCATTATTTTTACTTGTAAGATGGGACTTGATGGTTGAAAAAATGATAATTTTATATATAATGATGTGTTATTGGAAATATTTTGTTTGTAATGGAATAAATTTAAGCCTATAGCTTCTTGTTAATTACAAGACAAGATTAAGAAGCTTCATAGTTTGGAAGGTTTATAACTACAACTCCCATTATTGTAGATCCTACAATATCTGTATTTACATCAATAAATGATATGAGTTTTACATTCTATATGATAAACTTTACGTTGAATATCGAGGTTATTATCAGTTTGGAGATCTGCAAATTATAATGCTTAATATCGTGGTGGGAAGCCATAAAAAATGTAATGGTTTCTGCTAACTATGAAGAGCAGAGAAAAGTGATAATATATTATTATATGTATTGGCCTACAAGGTGGACTAATTTGTTGAGAAAAGTGATGGAGTGAGGCCCATTCCCATTCAAACTCTTGTTAGCTGAAGCTTACAGTAACATTTACGTCACCTGCTTACTGTTGGAATTATGCCTGCTAGCTCTCTCTTCCATACAAATCCACAAATGTCATGCCATTGCCAGCCTTGCATGCTTCACCTCCATTCTTATTTTAAGCTTTTTATGTTCCTTCACGCTTAAGTTCATGTGAACCAATTATTGATTTCATATCTGCAGCCTGCAAATTTAATAAACGTTTCGTTGAATAAGTCACTCAACTCGTCATCTTATTGCCATAACATTTACCTCAAGTTCAGTGATTCTGTCTTGAGCTTTTACAGATTTATCGACACTTGTATGTTAACGAGCATGTGTGGTTAGGATCTGTTTATTGTTTTTATATATTTTATGCTGATTGCTCACAATCTGATCGAAAGCATTCACTACAGCCAAGCTGATATTTGCTCATCTCACGGTTGTATAAGAAAACAAGATGAAGATGAATAAGCATGATTACTCATTCAGCTGTTAGTGCTGGAACTGATAAAAATGGTTGTCATTGCATGTTATTGATATGATAATATTACAAGACTCGTAACAACCGTCGGATTAATTTAGATTGAATTGAATGATTGTTACCAATTTGATAACGTTATCAGATTGATAAATAATGAATGAATTCCCTTATAGAATAGACAATAACAGGCTAAATTAAAGTTAGGGAGGAAGTTTCCTCCATATTTCTTTGCCTAATTGCCTGTTTTGGAGGTGGAATTTTGGCATATACACCCATCATGCTTCCAAAATTGCCTCTTTAGGTGGTGGAACTTGGCTCCATCTGCAATTCCTTGGGAAACCACTGTACATTTCTTTCTTCTTGTTTTATTGTTGATTCTAATTTTGTCTACCATGGAATTCAATGGAAGAGACACTTCTTAGCTTTGGTCCATGAAAATGATGAGAGCTTGGACAGGAACCAGAACATTATTAAGTAGAGAGATTGCTTGTAATGTTCCTCATCCTACAAGAACTCGCACCCTTCTATAATCTGTTTTATTTATATCTAGGCTATCTATTTGGGCCTTCTAAGTTTTTGGGTCCAATAGGGACTTTGAAGTCAAACATTGTTTTAAAATCCAACTCGTTGTAAGATCCGATAAGGTGATCGGGTCACAGGTCGACCAGTTCAACAAGTTGGATTAGTGACATCAACAAAAATGTTATTTTTAAAAAATTATAATTAATCCTTTAAATTTTAGTATATTACAAAAATACCCCTAAAACTTTTAAATTAGTCCTTCAAATTTTCATTTACTTTAAAAACCCCCCCCAAAATTACTAGTTAATCCCTAAACATTTGACATATGTAAAACACCCCTAACAAATTTTAGTTAGTCCCTATAAATTTGAAATATTACAAAACGCCCTTAAAACCTGAACTGGACTAGTGAAGCTGCTGGCTCCTGATCAAATTGGTCCGATCGGCAAGTCCGGGTTTAAAACAGTGCTTTCAGGATGAATTTTGCTCTTGAGGAGATTAATGGTAATCAATATCCCTCAGTTGAATCTACCACTCTTCTATGAGAAAATAATTCATCTCCTCAAGGAAGTTCATAGCCATGGCGCAAGCCTCAACTTGCTGCGCTTTTGTAATTCATTTCCATGAATAATTGCACACAAAAGCACGCTACTAACAATATGTACAGTTTCACCATAAATTATTATACTCGTATTAAGATTGTAAAAGGAATCAAGAGAAGATGAAGCACACTCATCTAATAAACATAACAACTGGTCTAATATCGATAATACTGTTCAAAGTGATTGCACAAACAAATCCAATGACACTAAGGAGTGAAAAACAACTGGTTCTTAATATCTATCAGTTAAGTGGCTATGCCAATAAAAAAACGAGTGCCATATTGCAACACTGATCACAATAACAACTGCATACATATGCATACACCGACACCAACTTCTTCACCAATGAAGTATGTACGAAGTTGATACTTTGAATTTAAGTGTCTACTTATCTATTATTATAACAAACCTCTGGTAATCAAACAATAGATAATCATATGAACCACACTCCTGTTGATTCCTTATTTAATCCTGCAATGAAATATAAAATATTCGGTTAAATACTCAATAAAATGCATCATCAAGAACACTGCAACGATTAAGTCTAATCTGATACTCAAAGATATGATGCAACGTGTATATGTACAGCCCGAGAATTTCATTCACTGTATTTCTGCTTTTTTAAGTTTTGAAGTGAATAGCACATTCCTTACAGCCAGAGTTTATGCCTTGCACGTAAGAGATTCATTGGATGTCACACCATCAACTTATAACCAAACATCTATAGCATAGTTCATATATTTGCACATATACATATATGTATCATGATGATAACAACACACACACACAGAGATTATGTATACGGATCTGGATATTCCTGTTCTGTAGACACTATTATTTACACAGTTAGTCATGTTCCTTCAGCATGGTAGTTCATATATTGCACATATACATATATGTATCATGATATAACAACAAACACACAGATTATGTATAGGCATCTGGATATCCCTGTTCTGTAGACACTATATTTAATACAGTTAGTCATGTTTCCTTTACACTGGTGTGTAATGAATCTTCATCCCAGATAGAAAGTAATTGTAAAATTCTCAAAAAATCTCTCACCTTAGTAATTTTTTCATAACTAATAACGATTTGCTATAAGAAAATTGAAAAATTGCTTAAAATATAGTAGGCATGGTATCTCACATAGTTTCAACTCACTCATTGATGATATGACAATCAAGAGAAGTAGAGTTGTCTTGGGAGAAAAGATTTATTGAGAACCACCAAGCAAAGGATACAAATAAAGAAAAATATACACATAAGATTCATAATTATATGCCTTAGAATCAAAGTGAATGGGTATTTGCATGATTTAGTTTTCTATTATTATCTACCACATAAAAATTATAATTATAACATGCAATTTAGAACTACATAACCGTAACAGCCAATGATGAAATGACGAAGTTAAATAAGAAAGAAAGTGATTTAATGTACCTCCTCCTCATCATCTCATCACCACCACCACCATCTTCTTTGTTCTTCTTGAGGCGGTGTCGTACCACCCTCCTTGCTGATGGGTAACTTCATAGCCCCAAAGGTGTGTCTACATCAATATGTCCTTTCATGCGGTAACCAGTACCTTTTCCTCTAATCATGTCCCAAAGTGCAGAGCCAAGGTCCTTGGGCCTGAAGGTAACTGGAACTCAAGATAACTGATTGCATTCTTATCAATTTGGTCGATTTTGCAAGCTCAGCACCCCCAATGCTCTGACCCCAACCAAACCTCATAATCTAGTGAATTGAGGCCCAAGTCAACTCTTCTTATTTTCCAACTTCAAATGAAGAATTGCAACAGTTTCTTCAAATGAAATCTATCAAATTTATTTTTTCAACATCAATATCGGGCTTGTAAGGTATGGGGATCTCCCCAGTTTTCTCAAGGGAATAGTTATCCTTCCAAAGACAGGCACATCTACAATCAGGTCTACCTTGATCTTGTATGGAATAATGCTACCAGGCTGAATTTCACTATATGTGCTTTTTATGTCATCAAATATCAAACTAACTGGGATTTGATGTCTCCTCTCCACGTGCGTGAATAGTTCCAGAATCCGGGATTAATCCAGAACTAGTTTCCTTCCATCACTTTCAATCAAGTAGTTTATGTCGATCAGAGGGATTGGTACCGGTTTGGGTTTTTAATGAGCACATCAACAACAATATCTGCCTGCTCAAGATTAAACTTCGGAATGTGATCCCACTAACTCAGCAGTTGGCTCCCAAATCCAATTGTTTCCTCAATCTTCTCACCAATATCATGGTAAATCCTTCACCTTATCAATAAATCCGCCCTCTCTCTTCTTTGTCATCCTTCTTCTGCCCCCTTTCACATTTTCAGGCTTATCCGATGATGCCAACCTTTCATAGACCAACATTAAAAAGTTAGATTGTACAATAACCATGGAACACAACACAAAACAACTTAAAGAGAGCAATCAATTCCATGTACTCTCAAACAAAACCGGCCATGAAAGCCCCTAAACAGAAGAGCTAAATTATGCCAAATTTAACAATTCAATTCAGATCTAGAGATCAGTGACTTTATGATTGAAAAAGTATAAATGCAATGTTATACAATACGAAAGCTTAAATTCAACATCAGCCCCTAAAGCAATCAAAGAACACTGATTTAGGACTTATGAAATCAATCAAAGATAAATAATAAAAAAAAAATATCACTAGGGTGGTCGTTGATAATGGATCATGATTCATAATCATATCAAAAAAGATGCAGATCACAAGTTAACAAAAACAAAACCAATCCCATTTGCTTAAAAGAGTCACAAATGCACACATCTTAGTTCAAAATCAATCAAAAAGTACTGATCAAATCAAGCCAACAACAACAGCGTCACCATGTACGTTCATTCTATATTTTAAAATCAAAGTATGATCATATTCATATTACAGAAGACGCAAACTTGATCACATTTTAACATAACAAGACCAGTAAAATTGCTAAAACAGTCAAATTTGTCAACATCCATACATTCCATGAAAAATCATGCAAAAAGTATCAATCAAACCAGATCAACCAACATAGTATCACTAGCAGGCTCATTCTAATACTTTAAATGAAATTCTGATCACATTCATCACATAAAATGTAAAAGTGATCACAATTCAAAAAAAAAAAAAAAAAAAAAAGAAAACCACCCAAAACTTCCAATGATCTACACATTCCACGAAAACCAATGCAAAAAGCAACAATCAGATCAAACAAAAAACGAACAGTATCACCATGAAGGCTCATTCACATACGCATAGATATATATACAAACACATCAGATCTACAAAAAGAAGAAACAGATTCGATAAACAGAATCAAGTTGAAAAGGGGTTTGATTTACCTTAAAAATTGTGAAGTAAACGATCAGGTTCTGAGACGAGTTTAAGACAGGACAACGAGATACAAGAGCCACCAAGAGGCTTTAACACTTGGCAGATAACATTTAATACAAAGTGGTTGTTTTTAATTATTTAATTTTTGGTGGGTTCATCAGGAAATAATTAAAATAATGATTTGCTGACAAAAAGGGGGAACATTTTCCAATCAATCAAGATCTGTCCTATGTGTGAATAAGGTTAAACAGAGTGTAATTTGGCTTATGTTAATGTGACTCACTTCTTTTATTCTATATTTAATGATTAATTTAACACCTGAATTCGTCACAGTAGAGGTGTCTATTGGGTCGAATCAGCAAAAGTCTAGCATATAAAATGGGTTTAGCACGAAGTCAATAATGGGTCGGATTTGGTTAGGTCATTTTCAAATTTTAGACACGAAAATTGAATAAATCCTTATTAGGTTCAATTAAAAGGACAAACATTGTGATTGTGATTTCCCGCCCAAATAAAGGTCTAATCATACTTTTTTATCCAAAATATTTCAAAATATAATTTTATTACCCATAACAAATTTTTGTTAGTAAATTTCATTGTAAAGAGAGGTAAGATGATAAAAAATTTGTTAAAAGGAAGGGCAAAATGGTTACTTAATATTTTGCATAAAAAAAATCAAAACTTTTAAATTCAAGTGTAGGTAATTGTAAGGCTGAATCATTGCCACGTGTTTTTTTCTCATCCTTCTTCTCTCATTCTCTTCTCTTTCTTTCCTATTTTTTTTTTTTTTTTTACTTTCGTCGTCCTTATTCTTTTTCCTAAGTTTTCTTAGGGGGTGTTTAGTTGCTAATTATATAGGATTATTGAGGTTATGTTATTTTATATCATTTGATTACTATATTTGATTGTCGAATAATATAAGATTCCGATAACCTTTTAATACTAATACTAGTTATTATTGGTAATATTGGTGGTAATCTGATAACATCCATTTTCTTAGATATAGTAAGATTACTGAGGTAATTTTATTTTTGTTACAATTATATTCCTTATTAATAAAATTTTAGGACAATAATACTCTTAATTTTAAATTAATTTACATGAATTTGGCTTTTACTATTTCACCCTAATTAATTAACCTTTTAGACAAAATTACCCTTGAATTTAAAACAAATTGCAGCATACCCAAGCCACCACCCCTACTCATCTGCTACTGCTTGCCGCACGCCAAACCACCGCCGATCGTCTTTGGAAGTCGCCCAAAGAAGCTGAAAATCACCGTGAGTAGCCCATCGTCATCGAGAGGCTTCGATATGACCGCTTTTGATCATATTGATGGTCGAAAATGACCATATCGGAGTAGATCTGGCCAAAAATTGTCATATCTATTCTAGCCATTTTCAACTAGATCTTTTGCTTTTATCGACCATATCTGGATGAGATATGACCGTTAACGGCCACATCTATTTTGGCTGAAATAGATCTAGTTGTTAACAGCCAAATCCATGAATGTTAATAGCCATATCTTACCAGATATGATCGTTAAAGGCCATGGATCTAGTTGTTAATGGCCAGATCCATCGATCTGACCGAAAATGGTTAGAATAGATTTAGCCATTTCCGACTATATCTACTCCAATATGGAATTTTCGGCCATCAATATGACCAAAAATGACTATATTAGAGTCTCTCGGTGTCTCTCGGCTACTAGCAACGACTCCAAACGACTTCCAACTACTTTCGACAACGGATGGCGCTGGCAGGTAGTGGCTTGGAGTGGTGGGAGTGATTTTATTATAAATCAAAGTTTTATATATACGACGTGTTTTAGCTAAATCTGAAATATTAGGGGTTAAAAAAATATTTAAAAATTAATAATAAAAATATTATTATATTAATATTTAGAAAGAATGTAATTTATTAATTTAAATAATACATTTACCAATTTATTTTTTTAAATCAAATATAATAATATAATATATCAATCAATTTATTCTAACCACCTAAACATATTTATTTTTTAATTTTCAAGAATCTTGAGCTAACGTAACTTTCCAGTAGTGTAACATTTTTTAACCACACGTAACCTTAATGTTTTCTTTCTCAGATCCGAGCCAAAG